TCTTCTTCTTCGTCATGGTCTTCTCTGCAGGTGCGCGGCGGCTTCTCCAACCTTCAGGTCCGCTATGGCGGACTTCTTCTGGCGGCCACCTCAGCTATGGCGCATCAGGCCCTGTACACGACGGTGCGCATGGAATAGCGGGTACCAGCTCCAATACCGATGCATTCAGACTCGTTTTCATTCACACTTTTCATGCATGTAAACAGTAGCGCAGCAAACTGGCGACATGCGCCCACTCAAAACTCCGAGATATGGCATCCAGATACGAGTTCACTTTCAACTAGCTATGGCGACTCAGCGCCCAAACAACTCACTGTTCACATACACCGGATCACCATGGATATCCCACACGCGACTCTCTGAACACTCAGGCATACACATACACACTTCACACTAACTCTAGCTATGGCGGCTATGGCCGCAAACTACCCTGTCGCCATGCTACACTCCTTCTCTTTCGCCCACTTCAGCTCCGGGCTGTCTGCAGACCTCCTTGCATAAGTCGCTGTGGCAGCACTTCCGCTTGGCTCACGCAGGAATGAGTGAAAGGCTGGGCGCTGCCCCTTGATTTATACTTCTGAAACTCGTTGGTCTGCCCTCTTCCATCGGCCCATGGTGCTCACAGTCCCTTGTGGTACGTGCTGGACCGGACTGGGACTGACTGGACCTGACCGCTGACTGAACGGGGACCCACTGCTATCCCACTGGACTCGCACTGCGGTTTAGTCCACCACGTGACCACTTGCCCACTGGCCGACCTTCTAGAAGGACTACAGCTAAGACTTCTGGAACTCGCTAAGACTTCTATTCTACAGGTCTACAGATCAAACCCCTACCACCTACGGACCTATGACAGCCTACCAACTGTTTACGGATACACAGGTCACAGGTTCAACTCTCGGGGTCTACACAGGTACTGTACACAGATAGGGCAAGGTCTAGGGATCGAACCCTGGGATCTGCGTCTGCTACTGCAAAGAGGTGAAAACCGTTTCATTTAGACCTCTCAGACCGTTTGAGGGACTGAACCGGGACCAGATTCAAAGGCTACCGCCCGGTACTACGAAGGTAGCCAGTGCTTACAATAACAGCGTTCACCTAGCCACCTGTCGC